ATCACATCATGTGAAAAAGCCACAGGAATCTGTGTGCAATCTAAAGGCTTTTTGCTTTCTCCCACATATTTTTACCTGCTATACAAGTGGGCCTAATGTATGGTCATCCCTCCCTATATCTTTGGAGCTGGTAAACTGCCGTCATTTTGTGGATGTGAGTCTTGCACAGGGCCATACCAAAGTGCATCTTGAATGTTGGCCCAGGGCTATCAAACATCACATTACATTTTTTGTCTTTCAGCAGCATTTAGTTGTTTGCTTGTTGTATGTATTTACTGCATGTATACCCTGCCTTTCATCCCAATAAGGACCTAAAGCAGCTTACATTGTTCTCTTTTCTCCCATTTTATCCTCACAACAACCCTGTTAGGTAGGCTAGGCTGAGAACACATGGCTGACCCAAGGTCACCCAGCAAGCTTCCTGGGTCTCCCAGATCCTTTCCTGAAACTCTAATCACTGTGCACACTGGGTCCCCCCCCCCCGTATCTTATGTTTATTTCTTTATTACATTTCAGTCTGTCCTTTGCACCCAGTGCTGTGGTGCTGTATATTGAGATATCAATTATTGATTGGTTTGATTTATATCTGCTGTATCTTGTAGGTTCAGAGTGGCTTACAGAAGCACTTCCCAGTGCAAACACTGCCCAGGAGGCTCACAATCCAAGAAGAGAACAAAGTTTGGGTCTGGTGGCCCCTTTAAAACCAACAAAGCTTTATTCAAGACATAAGCTTTTGTGTGTATGCACACTTCATCAGATACAATGAAATGCAAATTACCAGTCCGTACATATAGGCAGAGGGCAAGCAGTAAATTAGTATACAGCATAATGAGGATGTTTAACAGATTCAAGGACCAAACAGGAGTAACAAGACTTAGTTTATATGCTCACCATTTGTTTGGCTTTAATTCTGGGGGGAAACATGATGAAAGAAATAAATACGTCAAGACTGGAGACTGATGGGCAGGTGCTGAGAGTAATTAACTGAGACCCTGCCATTATGCTCCATCTGTCTCCTTTCAAGCAGGAAGGCAACCTCACAGCATCCTCTTCTTTGAAGTGGGGCAATTAGATGTTTAGAGTAATTGAATGGTTTGGACAATGGCAAAGCCAATTACATTAATGTTCCTTTTTAGCAATGCAAATTATTGGATCCTATTATTCTGCAGCACTAATAGGAGAGGAGTCTCTGATCTCCCACCTCCCACCTCCCACTAACTTTACCATCCTCCCCAAAGTCCCGAGACCAAAGTTTGGTGCAGGAACAGGGTGAGGGGTTTGACATGGGAGGGAGAAATCTGTTAAAATTACCCCCCACACACACACTGCTAGAATTACTCTCTAGTAATGGGAAACAGTGTTGGAAGCTAAAGTCTCTCCTAAACAAGTATCACACTGAGAAGGACATTGTTTTCTACAGGTATCTTCCAGAGTAGAGTGGGCTGGGTGGAAAGTGCATGGTGGTGGTGGTGGCATTTTTGAAGCTCTCCCCACTCTCCCTCCCTCCCAGCAACAGCAGTTGGTACACTGGCATAGGCCCATCTAGGCAGAGTTGCCAGGTCCAGGCTGGGAAATGCCTGGAGATTTGGGGGTGGAGCCTGGAGAGAGCAGAGTTTGAGGGGGGGAGAGAGAGCTCAGCAGGGAATGTGATGCCAGACAGTCCACACTCCCAAGCAGACATTTTCTCCAGAGTAACTGATCTATGTCATCTGGAGATCAGTAGTAACTCCAGGGGATCTCCAGGCCCCACCTGGAAGCTGGCAACCCTATAGAAAGATGCTGTTCAGTGGGCTGGGTTAGGATGGAATGGGAGCAGACCTTGTGGTGGTGATGAAGTATTGGAAATTTAGGGATATCTCACTGGACATTCTTAGCTTCAACCACTCCCTGAATCCCATGGCCCGGAAAGGCAGATTGGAGCAACTAGATCCATGCCGCCAGAACCTTGTTCCACTTCTGACAGTCATGGCCTCCTACGAAAGAGATGGAATCGAAGGCTTTGCCATGGAAAATAATGTACATTTTGGAATGTATGAAGTTCATTCTTGTGATATTTGTCAATGAATCCCCATCCAGTCTCAGAGTTTCTCTTTAGTCAACACAATCCCACTGAGCACCCATGTAATGCTTGCTTCATTTCTCTGAATGGTGAAAAGATCCATGGGCTTACTCAGGTTGTTTCTCTTGGAGGACAGAGCATGGAAAACTTATGGTATTTTTGTAGTATTTTCTTTATGGAAAAAAGCATACAAGTGGTGCAGAGGTATAGGCCAAGAATCATTCCTAGAGCAACAAATCCACCACCCCACATCAGCTGCCCAAAGAGAGAAAGATCCTGCACCAGCCATGTGCTTCAGGCCACTGCTCAGCAAAGGCCTCTCTCTCTCTCTCTCTCTCTCTCTCTCTCTCTCTCTCTGTGTGTGTGTGTGTCTCCTTTCTCTGTCCTAAATACACACTTCCTTTTCACACAGACCTACACAAATCTGCTCCTCTCTTCAACTGGATGGGCGTCCACTCTTGTCTTGATGGTGACTTGGCTGGAACCACGAAGGCACATTGAAGCTGAAGGTACACAGTCCTTGATACACATCCCCCCAAGCATTGCCCCTCTTTTTGTCATGCAAGAACCAGGGTCTCCTCCTTCGTAGTCCTACACTCCAACCACTTCGCTGCAGTGCAGTAAACAGATGTGAAGCTTGTCACAGATGCATAGCTGCTGAGAGAATAACAGCACCCAGTGCCGGTCAGTGTTCCCAAAGCTGGTGCTACTGTTCACTCAGCAAACCAAGCCATGGAACCAGCCCTGATGCCACATTCTCCTTACGAAAAGATGCTCAAGCAAGCCCCTTTCGCCTGCTTTGGCTCTCAGCAGCTGTAGCTCCCTCAGTCAACTGCCACACAAGCCGCCCTTGCTCATCACTTTCCAGTCTGCCTTTCTTGGTGGTGGGTGGCATTTTTGTCATAGCTTTGCATCAGGTGTGACCAGTGTCATTCATTCACTACCACTACAGACATTCATGAGCAGAATCACCTCACCTTAGAGGAGTCTATATTTGGGATTCTCAATGAGAGTCACTGCTCTGGGTCCCCACCCCACTTCCAATCAGAAAGACAGAAAGAATCAGAAAGACCTGCTCACAACAAACATACCTGGGTGGACGCCTTTGGAATCTAGTCATTGCAGCTCCTAGCCAATGTGAAGAACTTGGGGGGGGGGGGAGAAGAATGAACTGTGTCCCCAGTTTTGATCCAGAGATAAGAATTCCCCTCATGCATACTTATTAAGACATCCCTGCAACAAGCTGGGATTGGCTTTTCTGTGGAGGTGTCCCAGGATACTGCTGTGAAATTTTCAGCCTGATTTAAAAAATGAAGCAGGTGAGGCAAAGATGATTCCCCGGCAACTTTGCACTGGCTCAGTATTTCATTGAAACATGCTTAGTTTGCATACTGGAGATCTGTGGCCTCTGTGGATATTGTACTGGTGTGCTCACTTAAGGTCATGAAGACATGAGCCTGACTTATACTGTATCAGACCCTGGGTCCATCAGGTTCAGTACTGTCTACTCAGACTGGCAGCAGCTCTCCAGGGTCTCAGGCTGAGGTCCTTTTTTCAACAGGAGACGCTGGCGACTGAACCTGGGACCTTCTGCATACCAAGCAGAGGCTCTGCCAATGAGCCGTCCTCGGTATCCATGAAGCCGCTTTGCACGTTAACAGGAAACATTGTACAAGTGTGCAGCCTCTGGTCAAACATCAAGTGTATACAAGCCTTGAAGGGTAAGGTAGGGTAGGGTCCATTGATGGATCTTGAACATACAGTTGTCATCTGGTTAAGAACTGGAATAATAATAATTATAATAATTATTGTATGGCAGTGTGTGTAGAATAGCCAGGAGATCCTAAGATTGTCTGGCAGTCAGAAAAACTAGCTCTTTTAGGGTTATGCACCACTAGGTGGCAAGCTAGGCTTGTTTTTTAAAAGCAAGAGATGTTTCAGAGGTGGTTTGCCATTGTCTGCCTCTCTGTCAGGCCGCTGGTATGCCTTGGTCCAAATACTAGTCAGGGCCGATCCTGCTTGGAACTGGAAGACCAATCAGGCAGGTAAGCCCCTAGGCTTCTAGCCTCTCAGGTAGCTGCAGGTCTTGGGCTGTTTATCAGCCCCCACAAAAAGCGCTTCCCTCCTGCTGCTGAGACAGGGAAAGGGCACCTCAACTTTTAGCAGGGTGGAACAATTTTAAAACTGCCTCTCTTTATGGTATCTCCCTCCCACTCTCTGTCTTTCTGTTATGGATTTGAAAGCATCGCCTTAATAAGTATACATTCCTGTACATCTGAGGAAGTATGCTCTGACATTAGTTTCTGTGTCTTTCTTGACTCTAACTGGCCCTTCCTGGCAACTAGCCCCTCTTCTCTTTCTATATGTAATAGTTGAAGAAATTCTTTTTCACTGTATCTGGAGAAGTGTGCGTGCACATGAAACCTTATACCTTGAATAAAACTGTGTTGGTCTTCAAGATGCCACTGGACTCAAACTTTGTTCTGCTGCTTCAGACCAACAGGGCTACCCACCTGGATCTATCTGACTCGGGAAATTAGTCTTTAAGGTTCCCATTTTATCATCGTCGAGGGTGTGGCTGTGTGAGAGAGGATTTTGAAGCTCAGAGCCCAGAGAATTATCGACGGGCTTTCCCCCCTCCTCTGGCTCGCCTTCCTGTGGCCTTTTTCCCTCCCAGCTCCATCATCACACAATAACAAGCCGCTTTGCGGGAGCCTGAGAAGGGTGGGGGGGAGGGAAGTCGGACTTCCCCTGCAGCTCTTGGAGCTACAACAGCCTGATTTCTCCGAAATGATGCTTCGCTCGCCAGCCAATGTGCGGCCTGCAGCTCCCGCTAGGAGCGCTGATTGGTCGCGGCGGCGGCCGCTTGTCTCCTGCTAGGGGGAATCCCAGTGACCTGTAGGAATATACAGCAGCTCCCCGGTCAAGCGCCTGCAGAAGGAGCGATTGCCTCGCCCGGGGAAGAGCTCGCTGAGGTGCAGGACAGGTCGCCCCGCGTTTCGCCTTTTGGAGACAGAGGTTAGTCTCTCTGGGGGCGATCGCGGCAGCTTGGCTTCTGTGGTTTGCAACATCTGGGTGGCTTTAGGGGTTCAGGATTAACACTGAGCAATGGGAGGGAGGTCAGGGAAGTTGTCGGGACACTCTTGCTTGTGTGTGGATGTCTCTGCGAGCCACTTTTTTATAACGGCGTGGATTTCCCCGGCGGTCAAAGGCACCCGGCTGCAGCCAGCGAGCCGCCAGGCAAGCGGGAAGTTTAATCAGTAACTTTTTTGCCCTGTGGTCCTTGCACGAGTGTACATAGGCGGTTCCTTGCTGTCAGTTGGGAGACCGGCTGCGTGCAGGTTGCTAGAAGCGGGACGTATCCTGGACGCAGCGGCAGGAGTTAATTCTTTGTCGAGCGGAAGACCTGTGGCTTTTGCACAAAGCAACCAGAAATCTCGCGGCGCCTTAGCGATTTGCTTGGGCAAAGAGAGAGTTATTCTTAGAGCCCGCTTCATCAGGTGCACGCAGCGGCCACTCCGCCGGGATAGGGCCAGGCGAGAGGAAGTGTTGTGTTTGTGTATTTGGATGTGGCTCGGGCTGAGGCCAAGAGTTCACGCACGAGACGGCAGGAGGTGAAACCGAAGCAGAATCCACCGTGCGGGCGGGTGTGGTGCGGGTCTGTGACTGGTTCTGGACTGAGACACTTTTAGCTGTACAGGAAAGTTCTCTTTAACTAGATAACGGTGCAAAAAGTTAATAGCCCTACTTATTCAGCTATTAAGAAACAGTGTTAGCAAAGGGGAATTTTTGAGAACAATGGATGGTGTTTGTTTTGGTGCTGACCAGGAAGTAAAGCTTGTTAAAAGGGAGAGAGAAAACAGGGCAGGGAGGGTTGCAAGGAAGACACAACTGCATAGTTTAACCTTTAGTGTCCCGAAGATCAGTAGAAAACCGGTTACCGGAGTGGGGGGGAAGGAGTCAGATTCTTGGAGGGAATCGAGAGAGGAGGCTGCGGAGCTTTAGAGCTTGGCCATCCCTGCTAAGGCAACAACAGGTAAAGAACTTAACCAGCAGGGCCTTGGTGCAGCCCAATAACTGTTCATTTGGAAGGAGGGAAGGGCAAATCATCTCCCAAAAGAACTTGATTCAGCCATGTTCCATGGAGTGGAGTGTAGATAAATGGAGATAGGACTAAAGGTGGATGCCTTTCTTAGACTACTGAACTGAAACAAGAACATACAATGCAATCCAAAGAGTGCTTTCCTGTGAGTAAGCCCCACTGAAGAGACCCAAGTGGGATTGCTAGTAGATCGGTTTAGGATTGCTCTCGTAGTGCTAAGGTCAGCCTCCTTCACAAATAGGAGCAATTTAGCCTGCTCCCCTTGTGGAATCTATTTTGCCCAAGAGTCATGGAGACTGGTACACCTCATACTCTGTGCTTGGCAGTGAGGAATCAGGAAACCACTGCAAGGGTGAAACTCCACTGGAGAAAGACGAGGATGCTTTGAATCAGCACTGACACTGTGCAGTCCTAAACCGAGTTACACCCTTCGAAGGTGTCCATGGCCATCTGAGGGTATAGCTTTGTCAGTTGTCTGCGGGGGATGACAGATTTTGGACCTTTGGTCTTCACTTTGGTGAGGTGCTCCTCGAAGCCCAAAGTGGTGCTGCTAGCCTAAATGCATAGATTTGTGTGGGACCAAACCTCTGTCACTTCTTCCTGTTACACAATGTCTTTGGCTTGTACTCAGTCTCGAGGGAGCTGTAAAAACTTTTTGGACAGGGACCATCTCTTCATCGGAATTCTGGGACTAAATGATGGATTTTTATTAGAAACTCTGCCTTATTACTAGGAGCGATTTCCCCCTTAGTGCTGGTCGGCAACCCTTAGACATTATGGCCCTGATGCGGAGAAGCACAAGTGGGAGATCAGCTTGTTCTCCCCTGCACCTTATGCTTCCTGCTGCATCTCACGATACTTTATAAACAACTCACAGCCACTTGCCATGTTGTGTCTTATTGCACGTAAATCTAAGGTAGGACCTGTTGTGGGCATTCTAGAGAAAAGGAATCAACTTTAAGCCGTCTGCAAGGACTTGTAGTAATTTCCATTAAACTTACTTCCAACTTAACTGACTTAGGATCAGGGTGCTAAGCCAATGGCTATAGGCCTGCATCCCATTGATTTTAAAGATGCTTAATTTTATATGGATTTTTTGCACATTACATTTTCCCTACAACACTAATTTCTGAGTGGGTATGTAGTGTGTGTATATAATACAGTGCACTAAAGACATAGAAATGCACATGGCTTTCTCACACAGAGATTATGTCATTGGGGGGGGAGTGTAATGTGTAAGGAATCACCTCCGTCTACCCTGTGAACTTGAAGCCATCCTTAAGTCCTGTCCAGATCAAGGGAATTTAGGAAGCTGCCCTGTGTTTTATATCTCAGACTGTCAGCCTCTAATGGAAACCTAAATTTTACTGAAATGAATAGGACTTGCTTCCAGGTAGGATATTGAGGATTGCTTTGCTAGAATACAAAGTGCTTTACGATTCATCTGTTTCATTCTTCCCAGTCCCCCCCATACACACAATAATTCTATGAAGTAGGTGGCTTGATTCATTAATAAACAAAATTACAAACACTTCTAAGTTCACTGAAGTCAGAGGCCTTACAAGGTAGTACCTCTGCTTAGGATTCATTGTGAGGTGTTGATTGTTGTGGGAGAGAGATCTTCCCCATGATGCAAGGTATTTTGCCCCATTATTTTGCAGTTCTCTCTTATTCCCATGAAATGAATAAGAGAGGTGCCATCTAGCATGGGTACTATATTTGTTTTACTAATTTTAACTTGTTTTAAATTTGATTGTATCTCTTAAATGCTGTACACTGCCCTGAGCCCCAAATATGGGGGAGGGCAGTTTAAAAATCAAATCTATAAATAAATTTACAATGAATTCTTTTTTGGTTGTTCATTTTGATATAACTTGCCATCCATGTCAGGATTATGCGTAGGTTAATGGGGTTCTCTCTGAGGTTATTTCCTTCTAATGGCAATGTTTAACCAAAAGAGAGAAGTGTGTATTCCCCATGATTTTGTCTCAGTCCACACAATCACACTAACCATTGTCAAATTCGGCCATGGTTTCACTGTGCAGTGTCTGAATAGAGACGGCTGGACTCCATTTGTTTGTGCTGCAAAGATCAAGTAATGCCAGACAAGCTTCTCTAAAAGACAGCTTGTCCAACACTACTGATCTTCCCCCAAAATGTGCAGCTCCTGAAGTGTTCAGGGCATGCAGTTCAGGATACATTTCAGCTGACAAATGAGATCAGTGGGCCTAGCCCGAAGAGACCATGTGCAAGAATGTGTCCCAAAACCCTCTGCAGTGTCTGGGGGCTCTGTGGAAACAAATCAATATTCCTTGAAGGTAGAAAGGCTGAAATGTTTGCCAGTTCGGAAAGGCAAAAGAAGATGCAATGGTGGCAGCTATTTGGTTTGTCCCTAGCGCCTGGCTGTTGCAGCGGTACTATCTCTGAGTATGGAGACTCCATTGTTAGGGCCATGGCGTATAATCACTAGGCCTATCTTTCATGAAGTTGTTCAGTTTTAAAGGGCCTAGTAACAACCACTACTTTTTGTAGCAGTGTCTTCTGTAAGAGTATGTGAAGAAGCGCTTTCTTTTGTTTGGTCGATTTCACCATCAGTTCATTTCAAATTTCACCATCAGTTCATTTCCTCAACAGAGTATGAAAACAATTCTTTTTTGCTCCTGTTGTTTATATGGTTGGTAACTGGCCCTGTACTCGACTACCCCTTGGTTGTTTTTTAAAAGAACTATGGAGTCTCTGACCCCTAGATAGCCCAGGCGATCCTGATCTCATCAGATCTCAGAAACTAAGCAGGATTGGCCCTGGCTAGTATTTGGGGAATACCAGGGTCCTGAAGGCAGAGGCAGGCAGTGGCAAACTTATCTCTGAAAATCTATTTCCTAAGCAACACCTGATGGGAATCAGTTTCTAATCCTGGGTTAATTCCAAGCATTTACTAATAGAATTTTGGATGCATCCATTGTGGTGTAGTGGTTAGAATGTCAGACAAATTTTGGATGCACCCATTGTGGTGTAGTGGTTTGAATGTCAGACTAGGATCTGAGAGACCCAGGTTCAAATTCCCACTTTGCCATAAAAGTTGGCAGGGTTACCTTGGGCCAGTGACACACTCTCAGCTTAACTCTTCCTCACAGGGTTGTTGTGAGGATAGAATGGAGGAGAGAAGAACAATGTAAGCTGTTTTGAATCTCTGTTGGGGAGAAATGTTACGTGGGGTATAAATGAATTAAATAAAATCAGAGCTCTGTAGTTCTTCACAGCGTGGGGCTGACAGATCATTGCAGTAAGCTTCCTTAACTGCAGCAAGGTCCTTATCCACCATCCTCTAACAGATAGACCCAAAGGCTCTAGGGCTCTGTCCACTTCACAAGAATGCGGTTAGTGAATCCAGGGTGGTCCTCCTTGCTATCCATTTATGAATTTAGAAAAACATGTGCTTTGTAAGCACTGAGGAAATTAGAGAGTGCATGTGGTATAGTGGCCAGAGTGTTGGGTTTGGATGTGGGGAACTTGCATTCAGATTTCCTCAGTAATTTTAATGGTGGCTAGGTGGCCTTGGTCTCCCAACCCTACCCTATAGAGTTGTTGCAAGAAACTGAGATAACTCTATGTAAGGGCCTGATTTCCTGTGGACAAACAGTGCAAGGCATTTATGTGACAAAGGAACAATAACCTAGCATTTAATGAAGACACGCTGTCTGTTATAGGAAAACTCCTGGCAAACATTGGGCATTTGGCCCTAAAGTATTCTCAAAATGCAGAATATGTCTGTTTACAAGCTCAAATTATTTTCTTTTCAGAGCCAAAATGCCACAAGCAAGAATGCGCATGAGACCCTGGCTGGAGATGCAGATTAATTCTAATAAGATTCCAGGACTTCTGTGGGTCAGCAAGGTGGGGAGTCTGTTTCCTTTATCTTTAAAAACACCTTTGTATTCTTCTATTTAATGTGAGAAATAAAAATGAGGTTATTATAAAAAGATCAAAATCCATTATCTGCATTATGGGAGAGCTCTAGTTTGTAGTTGTAAAAATAGTTAGAACCCAGTAATTTATGACAAATATAGTAGACTGAATTTTTCTGAGAATCTTGTGCCTGGATACACAGGCTGTAGTCCTGTTTAATGGAATGGAAACGACAAGGCTGAGAAGAATTTAGCATGGCAGGCCAGATTTATTTTGATACTAGGCTTAGAATTCATTGAGTGCAATAAATTGTGATCTTAAGCAGAGTTACACCCTTCTAAATTCATTTTAGTCAAATGGGCTTAGAAAGATGTAACTTTTTTTAGGATGGCATTGTTGTTCACCTAAGTTTCTCAGGAGCTTGAGTATAATATTCAATAAATGTATGGATTCTGACTTTTTGGTTGACTTTTTTCTTTGGATGTTTTAAAATGAAAGCACATTGAGATGTGTTTACACATTCAGACAGAATTAAGAGACGGGTTCCAAATCAAAGCAAGAGAATCAATAGATACTTACACTAGCCAACAAATGACTGTGTGTGTGTTGGGGTGGTGGAAGTCATGGGACTGACCCCAACCTATTCACGTTCAAATAGAGGTAAGAACAGTGCATATAACTGTATGCATGTATGGCCCTCTCTAACTGGTTGGAAGCCATGAAAAGTCTTGATCACATGGAGAGCCCGATGTATGTACAGATATGTGTGCAAGAGTAGAGTAGAAGTGGGAAATGTCACTATTATTAAATTTCTTTCCCCAACAAGTACACACAAGTTCAGCCTAATCATGGTGATGGTGTGACAAGGGGCTACTGAGTCTCCTGTTAATTTCTGCTACTGTACTATACTATACTGATGCCCTAGTGGAAGAACAGCTGTGCAGTAGAAAACTACCCAGAAGAAACATCGAAATACTCTGCAGATTTCAATACTTCATTCAAAGCATCTTTGGTTTCTTGGGCTGGTTTTTTTCCATACACAGACACATGATGTACAATAATATTAATTGAATTGCAGGAAGAGCAGGTGTTCCAGATCCCATGGAAACATGCAGCTAAGCATGGCTGGGAACTTGAAAAAGATGCATGCCTTTTCAAAAACTGGGCCATTCACACAGGTGTGTACTGGTTTTAGTGACTACTTCGGGTGCAATTTTTCTATGGCTGGTTTTCATACTATGATATCATGTTGAGTGTGATCAGTGTATTTACACTGGAGAGGGGGGAGGAGAAATAACTTGTTTGCATCTCACTTCTTCTGCCCAGATTGCATGAAGCAAATCCTAATCTGTGGAACAGACAGCAAACGACTAAAAACACAAACATACACAGGCTCCACATTGAATTTAGCATCAGATTTATCTCCTTGTGTATGGTTAATGTGGTTATGTATTTATGATGTTTGCATCTCACCCTTCCTCCAAGGAGTTTATGTCAGGTGAAGTTCACATTATCAGCGCTGACAATCTGCCCTGTTGCTTGCCCAAGCAGTTTGCCTGAATGACAGAGCCACGAACTAACACACTATTGCAGCTTCTCTTCTGTGAAGAGAGAAATCAAATGTCAACTGCCAGGCATATCATCAGAACCAACTCTGAGAGACAAAGCTACTCTGTCTATTACATTTTCATCCTATTCTTGCTTCAAGGAGCTCAGGATGGTATACCTGGTTCCCCAGTTATCCAACAACTGTAAAATAGGTTAGGCTTAGAGGGTGTGACTGGCCCAAAACTAAGGAGAAATTTGAACCCAAAGCTTCCTAGTTCTAGTCCAACACTCCAACTATGCCACACTAAATCCAGGGTTTGAACAAATGGAAACCAGGCAGGGAGCTGGAGCTAATCACGGTTCAGGTGTTTTTCTTATTCATATAGTATGTTTCAAGTTAAACTAAACAGTACATTTTAGTTTGCACCAAATAAAAGTATAATGTGTAAGCAACCCATAGTTAGCATTGTAAATCTGAACCTATATTTCCTGTATCCAAACACACTGGAAACTGCACCATGCTGGCGTGCTTCTATAGATCTGTACTATTAATATCAAACTGCTTCTTCAATTAGTTGTAGTTTATCCTAGTTAATTATATTTTTGTTTATTTGTCCCTTATGAAAGAAAATGTGGGGCTTTTGAAAACAAGAATAAAATCCGTGTAATGACTTTGTTAGGATAAAATCCATGTTATGCCCTTTGTTAGCACCAATCAAATTGACACGAAACAACTGTGCACAATTTTGAACTCACCAGAGCTCTCCATTTGGTAGGATGTTAAAAATTTAAAAAGATAGAACATGGGAAATGCCTCTGACTTCTGTCATTATCCACCTGATCCTTCCAGTCCCTTACACAGACAATCAACACCTAAAAGATCTGTCAGAATTCATACCAAGCCTTTCTTTGGGTCAGACTACAGGCATAATAACCACACACAACACTGCCTGCATGTGTGAATACTAAATGAGGAAACATCAAGCACGAGGATGTTTCGAGGCCCTGGATGGAACAGTTCATGCTTGGGTTTTGGGTGGTGGATTGGTAGCTATGTATAGCCCTAACATTTCTTGTATAACCTGGATTTACTCTTCTGTTTTACAGGAAGATATAAAGAGGGTGAAATACAGCCTGACCCAAAAACTTGGAAGGCGAATTTCCGCTGTGCTATGAATTCACTACCTGATATTGAAGAGGTGAAAGACAAAAGCATTAGCAAAGGTTCTAGTGCAGTCCGAGTCTACAGGATGCTGCCAACTTCAGCAAAGTCACAGAAGAAAGGTATGAAAAGAAAAAGGATGCATTCCCTGGTCATTCATTGCTGTGGAGATTTTTTTTTAAAAAAACAGATTTTAAAATGTTGTCCCAATGTCTGCTGAAAAGCACCTGTCTCTGCCATGTTTGTTATTGTTCAAATGTCTTAAAGTGGCTACCCATCATCGAAAAGCCATGTGGTGGCCATTTTGAGTAGCTCTCAATGGAAGCTACTTGTATGTGGTAAGCCATCGATTTAGGCAAAATGTTACCTCTCAGCATACCACCCAAAACTACTCTCCTATTTGGTGGCCTGTCAAAATATGGAGAGTCTTCTCAAGTTGGCCTTAAATAGATGTCTTCAAGAAAGAACAATTTAACACGATCAGTAGCCATTTTGGGTGGCTACTCTTATAATTTGCTCATTTCTACTGAAATTAGTAAAAAAGCTATTCAAGAAAGTGATGCAAAAGTGTAATTAGTATTGCATGGTACTAAGAGGGAAATTGTACAAATGTAAAATTGGTGATGTCCAAATCATGCAGTGCTATACCTGTCTGTAATCATTCTTTTCTTTGCGCGACTACTTTTATTTACATCACTTCTATGCTTTGTTTTTCTTGAACAGAAAAGAAGACAAAGGCCTCAAAAGTCAAGAATGGGAGAAAGGTATGTATTCACACTCTTGGTGGTCAAGGAAATAAAACTTCCATGTGGAACATTAGACACAAGCAGCCTTGCACATCTATGTTAGGACTTTCAAATTATTCAATATTTTTAGTGGTTAGTCTTGCTTTTCACCTATTATCCGATTCATGTGCTTATAGTACCCCAATGTATGCTGAAATTTGCAAATATTTAGTTAAGATTATGACTGCAGGTGTAGACATCTATGATGTAAGTGAGAAGGAAGTGCAGGAACATTTAGAAGTATTCTTCCTATTTTTAAAATTGTAGCAGATCTATGGCTAAATAATAATCCTAGCTTTTGAAAGGGGGGGAAGCTTATCCATTTGGCAAGGTGATAGACTGTAGGTAAAAAAATTCCAAAATATGTCTGCCTGAATGCATCCATGCACCAATATCTATTATTGTCTAGGATTGCAGGCTAAGCTTCCACAAAATAGAACAGATAATTAAACTGAAAACAGCCTCAGCTTCCTGAACTAGAGGCATCCACAGTTTGTTTACATCAAAGCTGCCTGAACTAAAAATCCATCCCTGAGGACTGAAACCAGTTAAAATGCAGTGGAAAACTCACATGTGTTTAATGAACCGATAACTCATGTTAAGTAAGCAAGTCTTTCAGCCCTGATCTCTCTATATATATTATGTAAGTAAACATTTTGATACAAAGTCCTTTGTCCTTTACAGTCTGTGGAAGATACCAAGGTAGAGGAGACAGTTGAAGCAACAAACAGCATTCTGCTACCGGATGACCACAGAGGTTATTCTCGTCCCAGTTATCAACCAGAGGAAATGGAGGTGGAGAGCAGCTCCATACCATTCGGTGAGAACCAGTGTTTGCTATCTACTTCAGTGGTGTTTTAGACTTTTTGACCTTCAGGGAATCCTCTCTACATCAACTTGTCTGTCAGGAACAGTACATTATACATTCAGGGCGGAGCATTCAGTTCACGTGGTGTTCACAGACCAGAAGTTTAGGTCTTCTGTCACCCTGGAAGAGTAAAGAGGGAACCTTGGATCCACAGCCAACATTCCCTTCTTGTTGTACATTGTAAAGGAAGAGCAGTAGTGGCTATTTTTTCTAGAGAACCTGGCGATTACTGATTTTCTTACAGAGAAACTGACATTAGCTTTTGGGGAAATCCCTGGGTTTTGTGAAGTGCAGTTTAAAAATCAATCACTTCTTCACCCAAAGAGTAATTAATATATGGAATTCACTGCCACAGGAAGTGGCGTCAGCTACAAGCATTAGACAGCTTCAAGAAGGGATTGGATAAACATGGAGCAGAGGTCAGTGGTTGTAAGCCACAAGCCCACAAGGTATAGATGGAACACTATATGACTGAGTTCAGACTGGCAGTTTGGCCCGATATAGGCACATGCCAAATGGATTAAAGGGGCCGGTTCACACAGCCACAGCTGTCAGGTTTTCCCCAGCCGTACTCAACCCATCCTATGACAATTCCCTACCGCGTTAAAAAAGTACCAGGTGAAAGCGCTAGCAAACCCTGGAGAACGCGTTGATCCCGCTTCCTGGAAGTGTGCACGCTAAAAGCCACAAACAAGCCACAATGCTGCGCCTATGTGCATAGGCGCATGTTGCCGGAGTGAATAAAAGCCACTTACAGCCGCAGCTCCACCAGGGGTGGGCCAACAGTGTGAATGCTCCCTTGCACCTCCTCCCCGGTATGCTCCCACATCAGTAGGCACAACTTGGTCCCGGTCTTTTTGCCCCGCCACCCTCGCACTTCATACTCCCGGTCTGTCCACAGCCTATGTCTGGGGCAGTGATGCTCTGTATTCTTGGTGTTTGGGGGGGCAACAGTGGTAGGGCTTCTGGAGTTCTGGCCCCACTGGTGGATCTCCTGATGGCACCTGGGTTTTGGCCACTGTGTGACACAGAGGTTTGGACTGGATGGGCCATTGGCCTGATCCGACATGGCTTCTCTTATGTTCTTAATTACCTGTTTGGGCAGCAGAATGAAACAATTGAAGGTTTGTTTGGAATGAAACTAATCCCAAACTACCCCCGAAAAAAACCTTTTCAATAATAATCCTGACTTTTCTTCCCCTGTAGATTCTGATGAACTCTCCACATGTGGCTTAAGCAGTACCCTGGCTGACTGGAGACAGCTGCCTGACAGCACAAATGACATGTACCCATTTCAAGTGTCGCCTCTCACTTCCTGCTCTGATGGTTAGTACTTCAGTGTTCGTCCTCTTTGGGTGACTATTAGTTATACCTAGGACTGCAGGGCTGAGGTACGTTATGCAGCCTGGAATCTCCTATAAAAATATAAACCTTATCTAAATGCATTGCTGAACCCAATGTATATTTACTTGGTTCCATTTGGTTTAATGGGACTTAATTCCAAGTAACTCTGTGTAGGATTGATTGATTGATTGATTGTCAGATTTATACCCCGCCCTCCCCGCAAAGTGGGCTCAGTTTAATACTTGCAGTTTAATACTTAACAACTACTCCATGCCATAAAGAGTTGTGAAGACTTGGAATGTTTCATCAGCTTGTCACCCACCTGTGTGGGGCTCACCACCCGAGTGAGGAAACTGATCCATATTTAGCCAGACATAGAGTTGGGATAGCAAGTAGAACAGACCCATTTTTTTTCCTTTTTAAAAAGCATTGCCAGGTCTGAGAGGACTACAGTGATGTACTAAAGCATGTAATATAAATAATAAAAAAGCCAGTTTGGTGTGAGAGTCAGTTTGGTGTAGTGGTTAAGTGCATGGACTCTAATCTGGGAGAACCGGGTTTGATTCCTCACTCCTCCACTTGCACCTGCTGATGTGACCTTGGGTCAGTCACAAGCTCTGGCGCAGCTGTCCTTGAAAAAAAAACAGTTTGTGTCAGAATTCTCTCAGCCCCACCCACCTCACAGGGTGTCTGTTGTGGGGAGGGGAAGGGAAAGGAGTTTGTAAGCCACTCTGAGACTCCAAGTGAAGGGCAGGGTATAAATCCAATCTCTTCTTCTTCTTCTAAAGCATTCTAAATTCTGTACCAAGAAAAAAACGGAACTGAACAAATCTAGCAAATGTGCCTAATTTTCTAATTTTGCCTAATTCATTTTGCAGTTTGTTTTAGTTAGGTAATTTAAGTTACAGGAATGGGCAAAGAGATACTGAAGCTATGCCCCTGGCCACTGGAAATTGTTTTCTGCCACCCCTCTGGGATACCAATAGGCTTGCCATGTACTTTGAAGCATGCCTCTATAGCTGCAAAGACTAGAAGCTTGGGGTTGTTCCAGTCCACGAGTGCAGCATCTGCACACAGGAAATCCCATACAGCATAGCAGAGTCATGTTTGCCCCTTATGAACATAGAGCTGCCTTTTAGTAATTTTCACTTAATTACTGTTTTCTTGAGGTGTATAGCGCAGGCAAAGACAAGATAAAGAGGGCAGTTAGCAGTTAGCATTGTGTCTGTAATTATATGTTTTAATGAATTGGCAAGGAAATAGATGTTCTAACCACTTCATGGTAAAAAAGTAAATCAGCACCCAAATTAAAATTGCCACTCAAAAATATGAGAGGAAGCTGTTTTAATTGTGCTCAGCTGTCCTCACCTCTTTTGGTGTATGCTGGAGGCAGAGGCCAGGAGCCATGGTCTTAGCTGGGCTATAAAATGTCCATGAAACTGGCATCTGCTATTCACAGTAGTGAAACCTGGCCTGGATTCTAAATAACATTGGGCCTGATTGAGTTATAGAGAAGCAGTCCCACTGAACTCAGTGTAATGCTAACATTAAGATCTGTGGGACTTAAAAGTGCTCCATTTTGTGCTTTAAAGAGTTCTTGATACTATACTATCATGTGCTGTTAGGGTGGTTGTGTTAGTCATCCCTTTTTGCATTGTAGTATGAATGGGAATATAAAGATTATATATATATATATGTTTTTTTCTTCTTGATTGTTATTTTTCTTGGTTTTATGGATTTCTCTTTTAAGTAATATTTTATTAGACTGTAAAGAAAGACCTGTCACACCTTGTACAACAGAAACAATGCAAAAAGGGATGACTAAAAACAACCTTGTCATATGATCAGAAATTAAAAATTCTCAGCTCTTCTTGTTGTTGTTTGTAGGAAGTTGAATGATAAAGTCAGCAAAAATTCTGAACTAAATTGTGTGTTCTTCTCTCCCCCTCCCCCTTTCTTCCATTTAATATCACAGCAACAGATGAAGATGACGAAAAATTAACCATCTTTTACCAGGTAAGACTATTTCTCCATTCAGAATGACTTAGAGCATGATGAAAGCATGCTGAAGTTAGAGGGTTTCTATATGAGCTCCAAATTCAGTTATATGAATGTTATGACTGTTATATTTAAGCATGTGTGTTCTATGGCTTGTTGCCGTAAGAAATGCCTAACTGACTGACTGACTGACTATATGAGCTCCACTTCTCCTCTTGGGTTTAAAAAGCCATTTGGGGGCATCCTCAAGTCAAGATGAGCCCCCTTGTACGGTGCTCCATTCCGAAGGCTATGCCGCTATGCCCCTTCAGTCCTTGTTGCTAAAACAGGGAAAATCCCATAATTCAGCAGCAGTGTGCATGGCTTGCATGCATGAGGTTCCAGTTAACTGATCTGAGGCAGCAGTTCGGGAGCAAACCCATCCTTTTGCCCCAGGAGAGCTGTTACCAGTCAGGGTGGCTAATGCTGAGACAGACTCAGTTTAACGCTCGTTCACAGACTGATATGCCAGCCCCAAGCAACCAACAGAGATAAATGCCTCACCCCAGTTTGAGTTAACTGATCAGAAAACGAAATATGATATAATTTTGGGCCTGGACCTAATCTGTGAGTCTTGGCTAAACATGTATATTAGAGAATTTAGCAGCAGTAGGCAGGCGTCTGATTGCTGCTTTCTCAGGCCAGGTAGAAGCACTAGAAACAGAGGGGTCTTCCTAGGATGAATGAGAGACCACAGTGGCTAGGGACATGAGGTGGAAAAGCTGGTATTGCTGCAGTTATCTTCAGTAGAGAACAAACTGAGGATACAAATAAATAACAAGAATTCATGTTACCTGTCATCATAGTTGTCCCGAGGAGGGACTGTGAAAGGGTGGGACCATGGCTGAATGGTAAAACTTCCGCTTTGTGTGCAAGGTCCCAGATTCAATCCCTGGCACCTCCATTTAAGAGGATCGGTTAGCAGATGATGTGAAAGACCTCTTCAGTTTGATGGGGGAAAGTGCCATCAAGTCACAGCTGACTTATGGCCACCCTGTGGGTTTTTCAAAGCAAAAGACGTGGAGAGGTTTTGTCTTCCTCCACATCACACGCCTGGTATTCCTTTGAGGTCTCCCACCCAAATACTAGCCAGGGCCGACCCTGCTTAGTTTCTGAGATCTGATGATATTGGGCTAGCCCGGCTATCCAGGTCAGGGTGCCAGTCAGATTAGATAGTACTAAACCCAAGGATCAGACTCAGTGTAAGGCAGTTTCCTGTGTGTTTATAGTTTTGTCATTTAAGCTTTAACTTGGAACAAGCATTATTAGTCAACAGAATTACAGATGCATATAAGAAAAGTGTTTGCATTTAATCACCCTCTCTATAGTGCCTGATGAAGAGCTTGATGAAGAGCCAGTTTGGTGTAGTGGTTAAATGCATGGACTCTAATCTGGGAGAACCGGGTTTGATTCCCCACTCCTCCCCTTGCACCTGGCTGGATGACCCTGGGCAAGCCATAGTTCTGGCACAGCTGTTCTTGAAAAAGAGCAGTTTCTGTCAGAGCTCTCTCAGCCCCACCTACCTCACACGGTGTCTGTTGTGGGGAGGGGGAGGGAAAGGAGTTTGTAAGCCGCTCTGAGACTCCCTTGGGCGGGGTATAAATCCAATCTCCTCCTCCTCCTCCTTTATCTATCTGAGAGGTTTACATCCCTGTACACCAACGAACAGTTGTTCAGTCACACAAATTCGGCTTGTCTGTTTTGTATCTCATACATTTGAAAGATGGATGAGAGAGTGGCTGTTAAATGTAATGATATAATCAAGACACAGGACGTCTGGTTGAACATCTTTTCCCTTCTTTGTTTCTGACAGCTATTTAGCACCTCTGACTGGCAACAAACCTGTGTGGGCGGGAAAGGCTACCTCAGCAATGAGAGCGGCACACTAAATAACTGCTTTGACACTGGCTTGCAGGAGCAAGATGCAGTCAATGATACAACAAACTCAGGTACAGATGCCTTTACACAAGGCTCTTTTTGTAGAAAAAGCCCAGCAGGAACTCATTAGCATAATAGGCCACACCCAACAGCAGGAACTCATTAGCATATTGGGCCACACCCCTGACAGCACAGCTCATTAACATATTAGGCCGCACCCCCATGTTACCAGAAGTATGCTCATCCAGCCACACCCACCTTTTGCTTGTTATTCTGTTTACCTTGTTTGTTGTCAAAACCCAGGGCCTTTTTTTGTAGCAGGAACCCCTTTGCATGTTAGGCCACACACCCCTAATGTAGCCAATCCTAATGAGTTTCTGCTGTTGGGTGTGGCCTGTTATGCTAATGAGTTCCTGCTGGGCGTGGCCAGCTCGGGAGCTAGCCGGAACTCCGTTTCTGTGTGTTCCTGCCCAAAAATAGCCCTGCCTTTACATACATTTGAATATAGCCATACTTAGAAAAAAATCTATGTTGTTCATGGATGCCTTTTATTTTGTTTACATTTCTTGCTTGTGTTATCATAAAGGCTTTGAACAAGTGGCAGCTTTGGTTGGCATCAAACCAACATGAGCGGGAAGGGATTTCCTTATCCCACTTTATCTGCCAAAGAACTTCAGCAGCTCTTCCTACTTTCAGTGGCAGCCTTTGCTTATTGCACATAAAGATGGTTACTTAACTGCTTTTATTTTTTATTCTGGTATTCAGCCAAAATTTGGCTCTTACTGGAATCTGAAGACAATAGGCTAGTACTTCTAGTGTTGAACCCTTCCTCCAGGGCAAGGAGGAATGCTCCTCTTTTGCCGGAGGGAGGATCTTTGTGTCATCGGCAGTCCTTACAGTAGAGAGAGGCTCTGCCAGCAGCAGAGTGGAATGTTTGGATGCAACCCAATACAAGTAGCAGTTTCTGTTCAATACAAACGGATCTTGGGGATTATCAGTTTTGCTGGATTCAGGCACAGTGGAAGAATGCCACTGCCCTTCGGCTCTCTAATGACCTCATCAAAGGCAGCTAGAATTAGGATTATTTGTTATCATAAAGGCTTTGAAAAAGTTGCAGCTTTGGTTGGCATCAAACCAACATGAGCGGGCTGGCTCTGGGGGAGAGCTGGATCCAAAAATAACGGAGGGATACCTGGCTGCCTCCAGCCTTCTCCGTGATGGTCCCAATGATAGCAAGTGGAATCTGGAGGGAGAAAGGCACAAGCTATCTCAGTGCGTTCAGGTAGTGCTTGCAGTGTACAGCGCACAGAAGTCATCTACAAATTCTGCAGGGTTGTGTTTTGTTTTTAATGAGAAACACCTTTAATTTAATTTTTTCAAATCGCCAACCTTCTGCCCGATGGGTTTTGGAGAGTACATGCATTCTACTGGGTTGGATCCAGCAAAATGACAGCAAAAAATATTATAGTTATTTTCCAACTCCCCATTTTCCCTGCAGCTTCTGATATAGCCAAAATGCTGGTGATAGGGATTGCAGGACACATGTGGACAAGAAGCCCCATGGACCAGAGCACTGCAGTAAGGAGGGGGAAATCACTGTCACCTTGCTCATGCACAGTGATGCCTCTTACATTAATGGAATCTTCATTGGTGGAAGAGGAGGATGGGGCAATTCTGGACCAACATGTTGGTTTAAGAATGCTTATGCTCAAAAGCATACCTCCGATATTTAGCTGTTAGGGTTGCCAGCTCTGAGTTGTGAAATCCCTTACAAAGCAGCCATTTTTCCCAGGGGAACGGTCACCGAGAGACCTGTTGTAATTTTGGGAGATCTCTAGCCACCACGTGGAGACTGGGAACTCTACTAATTATGTTTGTGTCTAACGCTGTATACTTGGCTCCAGTTTGAATAGTGGGCAGTTTGTTACTGATAGTATTGATTGGGTTGTGGTGGTTGTTTCTAAATCCTGTGACATATTCTCAAAAATGTGGCTATATTCTAAAGGTAATCATATCATTAAAACATACACAATTTCTCCTTATTTCTGCAGAAACTAGTCAAATTGATGTGAGAACTGGTCTGGACTTCTGTATCTTGGAGTCACTACGGGCGACAGCTTTGCACCCCATATCTTGTTTGTAGCATGTAAATTCCCCTTTTTTCACTGTGAAGGTGGCACTGTTTTTCCTCTTTGATGTCTCCTGCAAAATGGAAGCGTTGTTCTGGATGTTTGAAGCGGAGAAGTTCCTAGCTGACAGAATGTCATCCGAATTTCAAAACAAAATATCTCTAGCAGAACTGTGTGCTCTTCAGCTGCTTGACTACGTCATTGGCAAATTCAGTCATCTATGCTACTTCCCCCCACTCTCAAATGATTCACACATCACCATGAACAAAGAAAAAAGGTGTTTTGTGCCTGCAACACGTGGACATACGTTTTCATCATAACCACAGTGTACAGTTGTTACTGCCTGTGTGTAAAAGCAGTTACTGAGTTAATGACAGTTCAGTTCTATGTTTTTACATTCAACTAAATGTTTCCATAGGCCCCCCCCCCCCCCCCCCCAAGTCTGATTTCCATAGTATATCTCAGCTACAGTTCAGGTCCCCAGTTTTGTACATAGGTTTAGCTCATTCAAGAATGCAAATCAGATACCAACTTTGCTTTCATATATTAGGTAGTCAGGACATTTATTCATAGGACAGGCTTCTGGTTTCATTATAAATGACTTTTTCCATGTAAATGTCATACCAGTTTTTCAGTTAGGTAATGGATTTGAAGTTCTTTTCATGCTGAATGGTGTGACTGACACTTCATCACACCACTAATAAGAGCCATCTTCCTAGATTGTGTTGCGAGTCCATAACATTCCTCGCGGTATGTATTCATTTCGCTGCAGGTAATAGACTTACTGAACCAGTTGCAACATTGACATGTGAGATGAGGGAAGGAGCTGGCTTTGGCAAAACATCAGTTTGCAAGGCTGCAACCCTGCTTTTCTTTTCCTTGTACATACATTTTTGTATATAGAAGTAAGGCAATTATTTTAATAAAGATTTTATATATTTTCTTCCATGTATCCTTTGGTGTTGTGATGTTCAAAACAGATAAGAGGGGAATATTCTGAGACCACACCACTTGTGCCTGTCAAATCAAATGTGGCCCACTAGCCATGAAGGGTGGCTCAGGAAGGCCTTAATAAACTTGTTTTTGCTAATGGGAGGGGTGCTTCTGGGACAGATGTGCACATGCCAAGCATCAGGAAGGCTATAATGCATAGTTGGTAGCTGCATGTAGCTTGGGAGGGATGGGTTGCAAATTCATCAGACTTGGTTTTGACATTCTCTAAAAATGCTTGGGGGGCTCAATAAACTGAAGAGAGATGATGTGTGTTGAAATCCCTACTGCCAGTGTAGGTGTTCCTACACTGCCCCAATAAAACATTTGAGATCTCATAGTCCACATGACACACATAAATATGATGATGCTTTGTATCCTGCCACTCCACTGAGCAAATATCTGCAGGGAGGGCGGGATATAAATTTGATTAAATAAATAAATAGAATATTATGGGCTTTTTCCAGCCCAAGGAGCCTTCCTTCAGTTTAGGAGGCTCTTCTTCCAATAGAAGAGTCGCTTAAGTTGGAGGTTCAAAGCCTCCTTTGGCTGGAGCCCCCCCCCCCCCCCAATGGTAGGCTACATACCAATGTATCTGCTCTCTCTTGTGCAAAATCTGATACAAATGTTATGATAATATATGCATAGCCTGAAACTGGTCCAGGTTTGGCTTTTTTATCCATACTGCAGTGTGTGTGGAAATGTATGCAATATACAACTTGTCACACAAATATAAACCACACTGGGTGCCTCACATCCAAATACCCACCGCAATACCGCTGAGCATCTATGTCCAGTCTATATTCATAGTTTTGATCCCACCAGGGCATCTGCCCCCAGGAGCTTCATTATCCTTGCTGGATCAGAGCCTATATGTCTATGTGGATTTTCTTGTGCGTAAGTGAAAAAGGATCTGTGATTGAATTTTCCCATCAGTCTTCAAGAAGGGAAAAGGTACCATATCCTGTCTCTGTTTCTTTGCCTTCCTGGGATAAAACCACCTTCAGGGTAGGGGGGAAACAGTGGAGGAGCAAGAGTTAACCCGGCCTCTTCCTCCGCTCCACCAGCCCTGATCCATCTCAGCTCCCCCTCCTCCGTAGCAGCTAAATTCTGTAGCTAAATGACACATTGAGAAATCCAGTCACAGATCCCCAGTGTAGTCATGTATGATCTGGCTTGTTACGAAATACTGCTAAAAACTGGGCAACTGTTATCAGCCACAGATGGATTTCTGGCAGCAGTTCCTATCACAGGGTTAACTTAAAACTTGCTACTGAGCCAGATCATTTTGTTCACTTGATCTGGGAGATGCGTCCAAAGCTTAACAACTGCAGATGTGTTTAAACAAGAAGCTAGGCATATCTACTGTGTAACTTCCAGTAGTGTAAATATAGGAGGCCTAGCAATTAACACCCATTCTTTATTAATTACCTTGGAGCTAAAGAGCCATGTTTGCCGAAGTAGTTGCAATGAACCATTAACTACACATTTGGCACAGGGTGGGAAATACAGTGAAGACAGACCACTCAGTGTGTTGCGCTAGGAAGCATTACATAACAATTCCAAACAAGTTTCCTATTCTTTGTCGTCATTGCCAAAGTGCTTTAGGGTCTTGATTCTCAGTGAACCTTCTAGTAAGACCTAACAAGAAAAGTATTTTAAAAATAAAAAATTGTCTACTCTTTTACACGAAGGCAAGCCTTTGCTCTTTCTTTGAGCACGCTCTTCAGGAAATTGCTCTACAAAGCTGTTTCGAGCTAGTAAGAGGTTTTCTTTGCATCCAGTGGGATCGGAATGACATATGCTTATGAAATAGTATCTCTCCACTATCTATTGTTTGTTGGCTGAAGAAATGGAAAATTATCAGGACATAAATCAGACTGCAGCCAAAAGTCCCACAACACTAACTCACAGTGCAAGCACAAAAGCAGCCGCAAAATGTCAACTGTGTTAGGGATATCATTAACTATGCATTTGGCACAGGCCAGGTGTCTTGGGAAGCTAAGCTAGGGAGGCCCGCCTCCAAGAGGGACCTGGGGGATCCCTTGGAATTACAGCTTATCTCCAGATGGCCAAGATCATTTCCCCCTGGAGAAAATGGATGCTTTGGAGGGTGGGCTCTCTCTGGCCTTGTACCTCCCTGAAGTTCCTGTCCTCCCCAGGCTCCATCCCCAAATCTCCAGCAGTTTCCCAACCTGGATATGGCAACCCTACGAGTCCCCCATCCCCAGCTGGTGGGGGGGGGGAAGACATGGCAACCCTATAAAACATCTCTAACTGAAGTAAATATGCTAGATATGTACCCTGTAGGCCTTTTGATGCTGTACGTATGTTCAGTATTTGTGAGCTCTGATACAAATAAGTTAACTGTGGGGAATTTCACATTACCCAGTTTCACCCGGTTTCAAGCCGGCAATCATCCGTTTTGAAGTGAACCGGTACAGGGCTGCCATTTCACACAGGGCTTGGCCCTACCAGAAATGAGCCGGATCAGAAGCGGTTTGGCATTTCAGACTTGCACCGCTTTGTTTTCCCGCCGGTTTCCTCCTGCGCGGGTGATCGATTTTTTAAAAAAACATTAAATTTATAGCGCTATAGCGCTATAACGCTATAAATCGAACGTCCCAAAAAAAACCAGCCGGAGATCGCCCGCGCGGGCAAAAAAAGGCGGGAAAAAAGTGTATCGGAACCGGGAGAGGGCACTGGAGACCACTTGGAAGTGGATGACAGGGAGCGATGGCGCAGGCAATAAGGGAAGCCTGCTTTAAAAACACTGGGCGAGCAGCTTCGGCTGTTCGAATCCCCACTGCGGCCAGGGTGAGCTCCTGGCCCTATGTCCCAGCTCCTGTCCACCCAGTGGTTCGAAAGCCCGTTAAAGGCCGAGTAGATAAAATGGGGCCTGCTACTAGAGCAGGGGGGCACCCCCCCCTCCGGTGTAGTGGCGATGGTGACGGCGGACGAGCAGAGAGCGGAGGAACAATGTGCGGCGGCGGAGGAGGAAAAATGGTGGCAGGCGAGGCAATGAGCGAAAAGAGGCCGGACCAATGAGGCGCCGAGGCGGAGCGACGCGGCAGGCCGGAGCCTGATTCGGACAGAGGCCGCTGCGAGCATGCGCGGAGGTGCGAAGAGGTCCAGGCCTGGAGAGTTACGACTGCCGGAAAAAGATGGAAGTGCAAAGACCAGTGCCGTAGAAGGACCGCCGCCAGGACTGTCCCCCGCAAAAAAAAGAAAGACCTGCTACAGAAGAAAGGGTGCCTGGTAGGTTTCTCACCTCCCTACTTACATGTGGCCCTAGACTAGGATGTGTTACTAATTAGAATTGTAAGCCACTCAGAGCCCCTGGTGTGTGTGTGTGTGCGGGATAGGAAATAGAAATAAATAAATAAATAAATACACTTCAGTCCCGGTTCCTAAACGGGACTGAAGCGTTTGTGTATGAAATGGCAAATAGTTTCCGGAAGGGAACCGGTTCTCAAACGGGTTCTGTCTGAAATGACAGACCTGAACCCATTTGAGAACCGGTTCCCTTCCGGAATCTATTGCCTGTCTGAAATTCCCCCCTGTGTCAATCCTGTTTCCATCAGTGAGACTTCAGTTAGTCATAACATGGAACGACTGATTGGTTTAGCGTAGGAAAAGGAATACGACAAGGATGTATATTGTCACCTTGCTTATTTGATTTATATGCAGAGTACATCGTGTGAGATGCCGGCCTGGACGAATCACAAGCTGAAATTAAGACTGCCAGGATAAACATCAACAACCTCAGATATGCCAACGATACCACTCTAATGGCAGAAAGTGAAGAGGAACTAAAGAGCCTCTTGCCGAAAGTGAAAGAGGAAAGCGCAAAAGTGGGCTTGAAGCTCAACATCAAAAAAACTAAGATCATGACATCCGGCCCATCACTCCTTGGCAAATAGAAGGGGAAGTCGTGGAAGTAGTGACAGACTTCACATTCTTGGGATCCCAGACCACTGCAGACAGTGACTGCAGCCATGAAATTAAAAGACACCAGCTCCTTGGGAGGAAAGTGATGGCAAACGAGGGCCAGTTTGGTGTAGTGGTTAAGTGTGCGGTCTCTAATCTGGGAGAACCGGATTTGATTCCCCACTCCTCCACTTGCTGCTGCTGGATGACCTTGGGCAAGCCATAGTTGTGTCAGAGCTGTTCTCTCAATGACAGTTCTCTCAGAGCTCTCTCAGCCCCGCATACCTCACAGGGTGTCTGTTGTGGAGAGGGGAGGGGAAAGGAGATGGTAAGCTGCTCTGAGACTCCAGTGAAGGGCAGGGTGTAAATCCAATCTCCTCCTCCTCCTCCAAACCTAGACAGCATAATAAAAAGTAGAGACATCACCCCGCCAACAAAAGTCCATGTGGTCAAAGCAATGGTATTCCCAGTAATAATGTATAGCTGCGAGAGTTGGACTATAAAGAAGGCTGAGCGCCAAAGAATAGATTCTTTTGAATTATGGTTCTGGAGAAGACTCAAGAAGACTCCTTGGACTGCAAGGAGATTGAATCAGTCAATCCTAAAAGAAATCAACCCAGACTGTTCCCTGGAAGGCCAGATAATGAAACTGAAGCTCAAATACTCTGGCCACCAAATGAGAAGGCAGCACTCGCTGGAGAAGACCCTGACACTGGGAAAGATTGAAGGAAAAAGAAGGAGGGGATGGCAAAGGATGAGATGGTTAGACAGTGTTATCTATGCAACGAACATGAAATTAAGCAAATTTAGGAGCACAATGGAAGACAGAAGGGCCCGACGTGATTTGGTCGGATTCGACTGTGCGACTGAACAACAACAACTTTATGGTTGTATTTTGTGTTTTTAACTGATTTGTAGATTTAAAAAATTAGTTTATAAACTCTTAGTCTCAAATGTGAGACATTTTGCAAATGCTGTATAAGACTACC